GTTTAGAGTTAATTTGTTGATTCAGATGATTAATAAGGTTAATAAGTGGTTTAGAGAAACTTTTCATGATATGCTAACTTTTTGAGATGAGGATTTTGGATTTTTCTTTATTTTTTTTGCCAAAATCATCAATATTAAAACAATAAAAGTCTTGAACTACTTCAGTTGGTGTGCAATGAATCTAAAATATATGAAAGTTTAATGTTTATCAGTACATTACAGAAGATAATGAACTTTATCACAACATGCTAATTTTTTGAGAAGGACCTGTGGCTCGCTCATCACCAGAACGCTTTGTGTGTAAACAAAATGGCCCCGTCAGTGTTAAAATATATTTTTAAAAATTTGCAAAACTAAACAGCCTGCAGTAATTTTTAAAGTCTTTATTCTACTGTTAAAATAAATGTTTATCAAATAAAGTCTAATGTTACAACTAATCCGGGATCCCTTTTAAAGGAAAAGCAGGTTTATTAAACGTGATGAGGACAGACGTTGCCACTAGATGTCCTCAGAGGTTCAGAGGTTGAACTGGAGCAGAGTTGATTCACTCACAAACTGACCCCGGTGCCTTTTCTTCCCTCAGATCCTGGCATCTATTGAGCTTTTGGCTCGCTCCTTACCCAAAATCCACCGCAGCGCCTCGGAGCCTTCGTTAAACCGCGCAGGCTTTCAGACGGAGGACTTCAGCCTGTACGCCTGCGCCTCCCCTAAGACCCCCATCCAGGCCGGAGGCTACGGTCAGCTCCCGTCTTGGCCACGAACACATGAAGGTTGTGTTGCTGCTGTTTGGAGCCCACACTCATTTTCTTGTCTTTTCTTGTTTTTCAGGGGAGTTTTCCTTTAAGTAACTGCAGCCGCTCGCAGCGGTCCACCCTCGTCACCTCTCAGATGTCTCGTGTCATTGCGGTGGATTCATTTATTACTGATTTTAAAAAAAACATCTAAAAACTGAAGAATTCGCCTGAAAGAATGTGTAGTTTTCTTTTAGTGCCACCCTGAAGAAGGCGCCGCCCTGCAGGAAAACCTGGGTCAGGAAAACCTGGGTCAGGAAAACCTGGGTCAGGAAAACCTGGGTCAGGAAAACGGCCAAAAAGCCACCAAAACGATGAAATGAAGAGAACCAGACGGAACGTCTGCATGAAGGAAAACTGAGTTCTGTGGAGGAACTCGTCTGCTAAAGGGAAAGATGAAGGTAAAACCGGAGGCCTGTTAGGAACCGGGCCATTCAGCTGCACTTTGAGCCACGGCAGAACCGGGCCTCCCGTCCGTCTTTAGTCTCCGAGATAAGCTGCAGGTCGACTCCTGAAGAAATGACTTGAAAGACTGTGTGTTTTTATTTTTGACTTGTTTCTCAGCTCGTTAGCTGTCTGTTCTTTTGTTCCACTTTAGAGGAGAAGTTTCCTTCATCAGTGTTAGGACGGACAGAGACAGACCTCCCGGGGTTGGGCGATTGGATGAATTTATCCATCAGCAGCAGGTTTTCATCTTTTTGTTGTTTTTTTAAGACCATTGGGCCTCATGCAAGAACATGTTCGTATTTTTATCCTAAATTTCTCTTACTTTTGTTCGTACAAAGGGTTCGTACGAACATGTCACGTCWGATTCAACAAACTCTTCTATCTTCAGGAAACGTGTATAAATGAGCTGCGTAAATTCCACCTGTTCGTATCCAGCTGCTCGTGCACGCG